AACAAGGGTAAGAAAACCAGGAAGGAAAACTGAGTTTTATAGAAACTGGAATGAAACTGACCAGTGTAGTTTCATTATCCAAGCTAAGCGGAAATGCAAAAAAATCAAAATAAAAAGTAAACAAACAGCACAAATGGTAGACGTGAGTCCCGTTTCCTAAATTCTTCCCCTTTTACTCCATCCAGGTGTTATCATAAACCCCAAGAGGCCTGCCCTTCTTTCCTCCCGGTTTCCCACCCTCAGAATGGCCTCTGGGCTCTGCCCGGCCCCCTCCCCCCTGCCCTTCTCCAGCTCAGCTCCAAGGACTGCAGGCCCAGCCAGGGATGTCCCTCTCCCTTGCATGTGACAAAGGGGTTCAGGGAAGTGGGTTATGGAGCCTTGACTGGGTTGACCCAGGGGGGCAAAGATGGAGACGTAGTGGCTCTGGGTGCCAAGTTTACATTTGAAACCCAGTTGCCCTGGGTGGGGGAGGAAACAGGCACCCTCGTGCTCACCAGGGCTCAGGCCCCTCTCCCTATGCCTTTCGATAGAATCCTAGGGGCACAGTCATGTTGGTAGCTTCTCCTGGGAGCCATTGTCTCATCCTTCCCTTTCTTACACTACACTCCATCCTGGAGCCTGGGTTCTGGTGACCTACTTTGTCCTTGTACCTATCTTGGGGTGCAAAGCCTTCCCTGCCTGCAGCCAGGGCTAACTTCAGTGACAATGCTGGATTCTTTGAAGGGTCAGGGGTCCAAGGGGCTAGGGAAGAGGAGAGGCCCAGTGTGGTAGAGGGGAAGGGGGTCAGGGCTGGGACATCTCTGTGAGGCATGCTGGGATCTTTTGAGTCTCTAGCAGGTCTGTTCCAAAGAGCTCAGAGCATTTGCAAGGCTGAGATGCTTCCCTAGGCCTGAACTGCTATTATGGCTGCCTCTTAGAAGCCAAGGCCAGGCCTTGAACTTCCCTGGGGTACTTGTTGCTCTTGGAACTTCCCTTAGGGGTTCAGGAGGAAGGAGGTTGGGAAGGGGGTGACAGCAGGTGAAGGGTGGGACCATGGAGAAAGCCAGTGAGGAGGCCAGCTGGGGCCAGAGCCACAGTTCTGTCTGGCAGTGCCACTGAGCTCTCCTGCCCCATGGGAGAATGGGAGGAGACATGGACACTGGGACCCTGTTAGTTTGTGGAGGGTTTTTTAAAGTCCCAGCCTCCCCTCCAGGGTCACATTCTTAGAAAGGCCAAGCCAGTGAGGGGTGCAAGATCTGGCCTGGGTAGCTAGAGGTAGGAGCCTGAAGTTCTATCAGGAGGTCAAAACCCTCTTCCTGAACTAGCAACACTTTGGTGGCCTTTGTCCAGATGCCATGGGAATGGGACAGCTTTGGCACCTAGTCTGGAGCCCTTGGCACAGGCTGCTTTGAGAAATCCAAGCTGTGGACTAGACCCCCTTCCTATTCCTCCTTAAGATCTGGCCAGAGCTGCCCTCATGGAGTTTGTCACTCTCCTCACACACATGCGGGAGCATCGCCCAGAAGACCTGCTGGGACTGAAAAAAAAAAAAAAAAAAAAAAAAAAAAAAAAACCCCACATCTCTTTCTGGTAGCCTAATTCACACTAAGCTTGAGTGCTATGGTATGGATAAAGGGTTGTGAGCTCCTTGGAGCTCCTGCTGGGGCCACCCTCACCTCCCCCATTGGGCCATTTCCATAGTGGTGTCCTCCTGAAGTCCCCGCCTTCCATACAGAGGGACTGCAGTTAAAATGGCACAAGCAATGCTCAGGGCAGGACTGGGCACTAGGGTTCACCAGGGCAGGAAGAGAAGCCAGATCTGAGGCCAGCACTGGGCTCTGGGTAAACCTCTATTTCCCCTCTAGACAACAAGAGTGGGATCAGCAGGTGCCAAGGGCTGTGCAGCCTGAATCTTGCCTTACTCTTCCAGGCTTTTCTATTGAAGAAGATGCAGCCAGGACATGATCATCCAGAGCTGCTTAGAGATGGGGAAGAAAGATAAAATGTTGGGGGTGGGGGAGGAGAGAGAAGAGAGAGAGAGAGAGAGAGAGAGAGAGAGAGAGAGCAAGCACCCAGTGCCTTAGACGGGTATCCCCATCTCCCTGCAGGGTGGTGAGAGAGAGAGGGTAAAAGAACCTAGGGAACTGGGTCTGCAGGAGTCCACACACCCCTTAGAGCAAACATATCTTTAGAGTCCAGAAAGGACTAGAAAGTGGACAAACGACCCTGTCTGTGCCCCTCGGGGATCACTTCCAAGTTGCTTGAAGCTTGCTTTTTCTAGAGCCCTCCACTTCTGCCCCAGCACCTCCTCCCCTGCTCCTGGTCCTGTGCCCACCCTGACCGGTCACTTACTTGCAGGAGAGCTGGTTGATGCCCTCGATGTAGTAGCACACGCCTCCATTCACACAGTAGGACTTGGCTGTCTCGTTGCACTTCCGGGCGTGCCCCGACCATGATGACAGAGTGGTGCTCACTGGAGGTATGAGAACACCGTGCTAGTGACCCACTGAGACCACTGCTGGGCCCAGGGATCATTTCTTTCATGTTCTTTCATGTTCCCATCTCAAAACTGGAAGGTCACTAGGGGCTGCAGGAAGGCCTGGGCAGGGAAGGTCTGGGGGGGGCATCTCTTGGTGGGAAAAAAGGCAAAAGGGCAGCCACAGTGGACCATCCACCCAGTGTGACTCTGCATTCACGCTCTTGGCAAAACTACAAAAGTCAGAGGGTTTCCCCCTGTTTTGGAAGGTTGGAAGAGAACAGAAAGAGCTTCTCCACTGGAGTTTGGTCTGGCTCAGGGGGAAGACACCTGTATCCATCCGCACTGCTCAGATTCGTATTGTGGACCAGGGACTCAGGGAAACGACACCTTTCGGATTCTGTCATTTTCGGAGCTCTGGGAAGGGAGTTTTGTGTGTGTGTGTGTGTGTGTGTGTGTGTGTGTACCTGGGCATCCAATCTCTTTCTTCTTGTCCCAGCTCAGGGATGTTAATAAAGGCTGCCATGTCTTGCCTCTAGAAGTGTCCAGTGTCTCCTTCATGTCCCCCACCAGACAGCTCCCTCCTTGTCAGCTGTTGCCTGTGGAGGGGGCCTTCAGACCTTTGACAGTCTCAGCTATAAATCATGAACTCCAGGAGGAGATGTAGCTGGGCAAGGGGCGGGGGCAGGGAACAGCTGGGCTCTCAGGTTGCTAACCCAGGCCACACATCTGACTGATCAGGCTTGCCTGAAACAATTGAAAATAATGAATGCTCTGCTCCCTTATCAAGGGACCATGTCCAGAAATCTGGCTTTAAATGCAAAACCCTCTTTGTAAGGCACACTCCACACTGGCTTTCTGGAATGTGCTGCTGAAAAGGAGCCCTGCTTCCCTTTAGTGCTCTGGGGCTCTGAGGGGCTCTCACTCCCGCCCAGCGGTGGTCCTCTGACTCAGGTGTCTTGCTCCACCTTGGTTCCCCTTATCTCCTCTGGGGTGGCAGGCTCCATTGCTCCCATCGGCAATGGGGAGGAGGTGAGAGGAGGAGGATGGGGCAGGCAGGCGCTTGGCACCGTCAGTGTTTAGACATGTAGGGAGACAGATGGAGCGTGGGGGACTGCAGTGTACACACAGCACAGCCTCTGTATATGTCTGAAGGAGCTCACAGATAAAACTCAGCGGGTAGGGCCAGCTTTCGCCCTCCCCTCCACCCCATGCCTGCTGCAGAGTTGGCATCTTGGGCCCCACCCACCCCTGCTGAGGTCTTCTCTAGGGTTCTGCCGCAAACCCAGCTGGGACCCACATGCTGGCCAGGGAGAGGAGGCTTTCAACTGGTGTTTGCACCACTTCTGGGTCACAGAGACCCAGCAAACTAAGAAAGGGACAGAGAAGAGACACAAGTGCGGTGACCACGTCTGCAAGTTATAAAGTCCAACACTGGGCAGATCCTAGAGGTTGTCTTGCCCTTTGGTTACGCCTCCAAGGAGGAGTGAGGGAAGGGAATGGCCGAGGGCCTCTCTAGAGCTCACTTGTGTATTCCTGCCAGATACCCTGTCCCTTGTGGAAGAACACGTCAGCACCAAGGCTTGACGTGAGCAGATGAATGTGGACCACAGCCGGCGGCCTCCCAGGGGCCTTGGCTAAGCCAGAGGAATCTTGGCCCCGATCTGCCAGGCCCAGCATGGCTCCTCTGAAGCAGTGGTGGCAGAGACCTCCTGCTGTTGGTCTTCATTGCTGTTCTGTGAAGTTGACTGAGCACTGGACAGCAGTGAAACTGCTGGGTGGCAGGGACCACAGAACACCAGTTGTGGTGCACTGAGTCTAGGTTGCCAATACCATATCATGGGGTTGATGCCAGGGCTCCAGAAAGGCAAAAAGTGAGGGTAGTGGGGAGCTAGTCATACAAGTGTCAGGGAATAGTGACCACAGGCCTTCCCACCTCCTCTGTCATGGTGAGACCTTCCCAAGTCACTTTAGCATAGCTGTCCTGTAGGTACCAAGGCAACATGTTCTTCTTTATCCCCTTGGCAACACATCTGTATTTTGCCACTGGCCTTTTTTATTGTGAGACACAAAGGTGGCAGGGATTCTAAGTGAGAAGGCTGCTCTCTTGTCCTCTCCACTGGGATGGCTACAGAAACCCAATCCAGTGTGTCCAAACTGGCCTCCCAGCTACTGCTCTCTTTCCTATGACTGAGAGCCCCAAAGTCCCAGAGAGCATCTTTCATTTTTTCTTTATTCTTTCCTGGCCTATATTCTCAGGGACTGACACTTTCACCACCTCAAGAGGCTCCATTCAGGCCTCCTAGTTCCTCCCCTGGTCCAGCTCATGGTTGTGTCTTCCTTGAGTGATTTGCTTACTTCCTGGTCCTCCTGCCTCGCACTTGCCTTCACTCTGGCAGCCACAGTGGTTTTTAGAATATGTAAATTATGTCAATCCCTTCCATGGTCAAGGTTCTTTAGCATGTCCCTGTGTAGTCAGAACAAGACCCTCTACCCTTCATTAGGTCTTATCTGGGCCTTGTGGCATTTCTGTCGTTTTTTATCCTGTTCTCTCAACATATTTTGGCTTTTCTAACAAGCCAGGTGCCTTGCGGCCCAGGACCTTTCAAATATCAGTGTCTTGGTACAGCCTCTCCCGGCTTCTCAAGATGGGCTACAATCTTTATGTTCACTTCTCAAGCTTCTGCTAGTAGTATTCTTTCTAAACTAATTAAGGAACCAAGTATGTCATCAGTAGCTCTGCCACTAGAACCCCAGCTCCTCGGGGCATAGTCACCTCTGTCATGTTTCATTAAATCCCAACATCTAACCAAATGCTTGACACAGAATAGGTGCTTAACATTTGTGGACAGAATGAACAAGCACACATCTGATTCTTGAGGGAAAGCAACCTCTGCTGCTTCCCTGAGCATGGTCTAGTGTTCTTACCCCATCATCGGGCATCGGTACCTTTTCTCCTCTCACTTGCAAATACTGCTAAGAGGTTGTTAGGAGTGTGACGTCAAAACCACAATGAGATACTGCTTTACACCTACTAAGATGGCTAGAATGCTAGACCTGGAAAACAGCAAGTATTGGAGTGGACATTGAGGAGCCAGAACCCTGGGGCACACCTGGTGGGAATGCACAGTGGTGTGGTTGCTTAGACATCTAGTCTGGGAGTTCTGTTTTTGTTTGTTTGTTTTTGAGAGGGTTTCTCTGTGTAGCCCTGGCTGACCTGGAACTCCCTCTGTAGACCAGGCCTCAAACTCACAGAGATCCACCTGCCTCTGCTTCCTAAGTACTGGAATTAAAGGTGTGCGCCACTGCCTCCTAGCCTCTGGAAGTTCTTTAAGAAAGAAAGAAAGAAAGAAAGAGAGAGAGAGAGAGAGAGAGAGAGAGAGAGAGAGAGAGAGAGAAAGATAAAAATTAAAAATCCCCAGAGTTACCATACACTCAAGAAATTCCACTCATGGGCGTATCAAGCCTGAAAACCTGCGTGCTTACAAACACCTGAACATGAATGTCCGCAGAGACGTTATTCATCAAATGTGGAAGTGATCCAAATGATTCAACAATTCAAACTGTTAAACGGATGGAATAAAATGTAGTACATTCACACACTAGAATAGCATCTCACCATAAAAAGAATGCACTCATACATGCTACAATGTGGATGGGCCTTTGGATAAGTTAAGGACACTTACTATATGGTTACATTTATACAAAATTTCTACTACAAATTAATCCACAGGGGCAGAAAGCAAGAGTAGTAGAGTGAGTGCTAACATGGAGTTTCTGAGGTGATGACAAAAATGTTCTGAAGCTATACTGAAAACCACTGAATCATACTTTCAAAGGACAAGTTTTATGGCATGCAAATTATATCTAAAAATATTAATTAAAACCATGCCCAGAAGGGGAAAACCCAGGAAGCAGTTGCCATGAGTGTCATGGCGCAGGCTGTCCCAGACCTTCAGAGGAAGATGAAATGGGACAGACAATGAGCGGGAGGGAACACTGAGTGTCTCTCTCTGTCCGGGCCACAACTGCTTTTGTCCTTTTAGCACGGGCACACTCCTGTCCCCCTCTAAGGTCCAGGCCCCTTAGCTTGAACTACCCAGCTCCTGCCTTGCTGTGCAAATGGCTCCTTCTAACTTGGCTCAGGTGTCCATTCTCCCATTACTTTGTTGGGAGAGGCAGACACTTTCAGGCCTAGGATTTATCTTCCTGTCATCTGAGGTTCTGTATTGATAACCAAGGCCTCGGCTTTCTGGAACTCAGAGAGGGGTCATGCTGAATACAACTGGTGTGGGGGTATATGTTCATGTCTGGTTGTATAGACGTGTTCAGCCAGCTAACCTCTTGCCCAGAGGCCTCTACCACATGTCTGCAGTCCTGTAACTCGTGCCAAAGCTGCCTGCCCTGTGCTTGGTGTCCTGGGACAATCTGGAGTTCCCTTTCACTTGGGACAGGGTTGCTGGCTTCTGTAGGGCAGAAGGGGATTGCACTTTGCAGACTGATTTGTTCCCTGCTCTGTCTATGTCTGCAAACTCCTTTTCCCTGCAGCCCAGTGAGGCTAGAGGCTCCTGTGAGACCCAGAGCGATCACTTCCAGAGGGCCTGCTCTGATCTGGGAAAGAGGACTATGGCTCCACCCAAATGGAGAGGTAAGTAGCCATTCAAGAGTGGGATGATACCCTTTGACGCCCTACCCCTGTGGCCCTACTCCCCTGGGGCCTGGGCGGGCCCTGCCAACCCACCTTGGGATGAGTCATTGGGGGCAGGCTCAGCTGCCCGCTGCCCGCCCTCCACCCCCTCCTCAGGGTGTGGTTCCTGAAGGTCTGCTGGGTTTCGCTGGTAAACATGGAATCCATGGATTTCTTCTTGGGAAAACGTCCATAACCATGTCTCCACATCAAGAGTGGACTGGACAGGGCAGCCAAAGCAAAGAGATATATGCGTGGCGTGTGTGAGGATGCACACAAGTGTGTTGGTGAGGTGCAGATGGCAACCTCAGCAGCAAACTCAGAATCCCAGGAGTTCAGGAGAAACTTAGCACCATGTAGCTCAGCCTTTGAGGGGAAAGCTGAGCTTTAGGAGGGGAAGGAGCAGGCAGTCTGTGGGACACAGAGCTGGGAACGGTGCAAACAATGCAAATATTGGAGCTCTTGCTACCTCCTGGGCCTCAGCTCCCTTGGGCCTCTGCTTCCCCTGGGCCTCTGCTCCACCTCAAACCAGGCTGCAGGGGCCAGAGGCACTGAAGTCTTCGGACAGCTGGGATTCCATTCTCTGCATGAGACCCTATACTCAGCCCAAAGGGTCACTGTCTGCTTCAGATGTCTATCAAAGTTTGGCATTCTGCAGGCTGAGGGGGCCACTCAAGGCTGGGGCTGCAGCTTGCTGGTGAGTCAGACCTTCAAGACCCTGGCCCTGCCCAATGGGGAGGGCACAGCTTAGGTGTTCTGAGTAGGAACCCTTCCTGTTCCCTTTGTCTCACATAGCGAGATGGTTTTCCTACAGGGCCATCACTCGTTATAACCCTTGTGCACACAGATAAGCCTGGCAAAGATGGTGTCCCATTCACCTGAACAGGGTAACAGGGCCATGTGTGCATGTGACTTCAGCAGGGTGACTAAGAATCCATTCTCATTCCTGCCCCAGGAGGTTGAAAAGATGGCGGCTGGCTGAGGTGGAACTCTCTGAGGCAGTGCCTTCTCTTTCTGCCCCACTCCCTAAATACAGGAGATGCTGTTGCATAGTAGGAAAGCAAGAAACCAACCTACTCCCAGTTCCTGGAGTCTTTGCCATCTGGAGTCAGCATTTGCACTTCCTAGTTTCATGAGCCAATACATGATTTCCTCGGGGTCGGCTTAAGTGGATACTTGTCAGTTCTAACCCAGAAAGTCTTCATTAATAAAATGGGAGATTCAAAGTTCAAGGCAGATCAGAAGATGTCTGCCCACTGCAGCAAAAGCGGCAGATGCTAAGCTCAGGTACATCCCAGTGGAGCAGCTTGAAAGCCACTGGATCCAAGCACTTGCCTCTGACACCATTCTCAGGCCAGGACAAGGCCACAAAAGCCTTGGAATAGCTCCTTCTTTTTTTTTTTAATTAATAAAATGATATTGAAAGCTGGGCATGGTGGCTTTAATCCCAGCACTTAGGAGGCAGAGGCAGGCAGATGTCTGTGAGTTCAAGTCCAACCTAGTTTACAGAGTGAGTTCCTGGACAGCCAAGGCTATGTAGAGAGACCCTGTCTCAAAAAAAACAAACAGCTGGGACATGGTGGCACACTCCTTTAGTCCTAGCACTTGGGAGGCAGGCTGTGAGTTTGAGGCCAACCTGGTCTACAGAGTGAGTTCCAGGACAGCCAGGGCTACACAGAGAAACCCTGTCTCGAAAAATTAAAAAACAAAACAAACAAACAAACAAACAAACAAACAACAAAAATGATATTGAAATTCAGGCCTTGTACATGCTAGGCAAGAGCTCTCCTGCTGAACTACATTCCTAACCCTAGGTTGTAATTTCTTTAATATAACAGTTACCAGCTACCTCTTGTGAGGTAGGCATTGTGCTAGGCCCTGAGGCCAGAGTAGTAAACAGACACATGGAGTGCCAAGACCAAGTTTACTAACGACTTTCTCACTGTAGAGATCCATCAGTAACAAGCTGTTTGACTTTGGGCACAACCTCTCTGAGCCTCTCCCAAAGAAGGGTCCAGGAGACAATGCAGATAGAGTATGGCTCAGCAAACAGTAGACCTGACCAGAACTCTCAGGGGATAACATCATTCCTGTTCTTGTCACTTCCCTGAGGCTCCTCCTGAGTTAGGTGGTCTGAGCACAGAACAAATCCAACAACAGGGGGTCTAAGGCTAGAATCCAAGAGATGCCCCCAAACCATGAGGGTCAAGAGGTGGCTCAGGATTGGGTTTGGACCCAGAGTAACACTGCAGGAGGTCAAGGAGGAAGGCTGCTGGGGGGTGGGGGTAGGGTTGAAAGGTTATGGATGGGGACTGGTAAAGGAGACAGAGTTCATCTAGGGATGACATGATCTTGGGGTCAGATAGGAAAGGAGTAAGCCCTGGCGAGGAGGCTCCATGGGAAGGGTATGGCTTCAAGAAGGCACTGTCAAAGCCCATTGCTCTGACTTGTGTGTGAGCTGGGGCCAAAGCCTGAGCCATGGCTGCTCTCGAGATAGGGAATGGAGTGGAAGGGACAGGTGTGACAAAGAGCTAGACAACAGAAGCCTGAGGTATCTCCCATGAGCATAGGGCAGACAGGATGGGGTCTGACTTGTGGCCTTGGTAATGCAACAGGATCCCCTTAAAGTCAGCACTGGATCTGGGGAGCCCTTCAAGGCTGTATGGTGGTAACATAGTCAGACGGCATCATACACAGGGTCAGATCCTATGCCAGGGACAGGGCGTGGTGAACAGCAAACCCTACACGATGGAATCAGTTTGTGGCTGCCCAAAACCAGGGCCTGAGAGGAAAACCCAGCAGAACGATGTTCTCTATTCTGATGCTACATCAGACACTGTGAGCCAGCAAACCAAGCAGCTCTGAGGTCCTCCTTTGTAAGTCTTCAAAGAGGGCACAGCATGAGGGAGGTGAGCCAGGCCTGTTATCCCTATATGGAGGCTGCCCACAGGCCACAGGCACTCAAGCTTCCCACCCTGAGGCCTGGCTCAGGTGCCCAACGATGCTGCTGGCAATAGGCAGGCAACTCACACCCACCTCAGGCCCCGCTCTCCCCCAGCCTTGCTCCTGACAGCCCAGCCTCCCGTAATTGCCTTCTAAAAATATCTTCCCCCCACCCCCACCTCTTGATTTCAAAATATTTAGTTTTCAGGGTATTTAAAATGAGAGTTGGCGGCTCTTCCAGGCCCAGATAACAAAACTAAACATTTATGCTTTGACTGCATTTCTATGAATTGGCTGAGATCTTGGATTTGATATGTAGCAGCAGGAGGGAGGGGAGTTGAGTGCAAGACAGATCTCATGTGGTTCTCCTGAGGGCTGAGGGCCAGCTGATCTACTCTGCCATCCCCTACCCCCCACCCAGGACCCTTCCCTTCCTTGAGGAACACCTACCACTGTTAACATGGAGCCGGCCCCTCACGGTGTCCTTCCCAAGGATGTTCTCGGCTTCGCAGACATACTCCCCAGCATCTTCCACCTTCACTTTGTTGAACTGGAGTCGTGAGTTTTTTCTGGTTTGGGGGAAGAAAAAGGGAGAGAGGTGTGAGCCAGGGCTGCTGGAGCTTATCAGGGTCACTGAATGGTAACTTCACAGATCCACAGTGGCTGTGTAGGATGGGTGAGAAGAAGGCCCCTTAGGCCAGCTCTTTCTGGAGTGCAGGTGGTACACCAAACCCTGGAGCTGGGAGGAGACGCGAATCCTCAGTGCAACACTGTGTATTGCTCCACAGCACTCAGGTTCTGATCTGTGAATTCCCGCATCTCTTTCCTTGGGGCTGGGTTTCTTTGTATCATTTTTCTTGGGGAAGAACACCAGGCCCCTTAGGAAGTCACATAGCTACACCTCGAATTTCCAGCTGCCTTTGCCATCCATGGAAGTAGCAGATTGCCACTGTTCATGTTGTATATTGTTTCCCAAAGTCCACTGGTCCTCACTGCAATGGTGTTAACAGATGATGAGGACACATATTGAGAGGGTCTCATGCCCTTGATTTTGGAGTTCCAGACTCTACAAATGAGGGCCAAACACATCCCTACTGTTTATCAGTGAACCCCTCTGGATACTCTGTTAGAGCAGCAGAATGGACTCCAACTCCCGGATACCCGGGAGAACGCCTGTCTGATAGCTTCAGCGGCAACTGTGCTAATCCAGGGTGCCAGTCCAAGCCTCTCTCCTACTGTTTGTCCACTCAGCCTTGCCATCAAGGAGCCTCTGTAGCCTCTCCAAGAGGATTTTGTTTAACTCCTTCCTCAAATGTGTAACAAGCACCTCCCGTGTGCTGGAAACTGTGTACCCCAGGGTCTGGAGCCTCAGGGCCAGTTAGGGTGTCCTCTTCTTACCTATGGACAAACTAAGTCTGGCAAGGCAAAGCAGAGGTAACCAGGAACTGAGGTCAGTAAAGACACCAGAAGCTAGGGCTAGTGCCTTTCTCTGGTCTCTTACTTGAATGGTCCGAGGCCAGGTCCTAGCCACCCCTCCTCCAAGCTGTGGCTCCGGAGCATCTGGCTTTGGCTTCTTTCTGAAGTCCTGACCAAACCTTGCTTCCTCCTCAAGGCTTCCTTGCACCAACTCTGAGATGTCTTGGTTCTGCAAGGCTCTGCTCATAGTTCCCAACCCTTCTTGCATCAAGTACTCTCTGAGGCTCAGAAAGTGTTCTGGATAAAGCCAGGGACACCAGAAAGGACATAATGTTTTTACTGTGACCTCCTATTCTTTTTAGTGATGGATTAAAAAACCAGATTCCTTGTAGATGCACAGTTGGCTGGAGTACGGGCAGGGTACAGCCAAGATGCCATTGCCCTGCAAAAGAGAGCCATGATACTGATGGCATAAGGACTGTGATGGGAATGGGGAATGGGATATGGGGTTTGGGGTATGGGGAAGTAATGGGGAGAAAGCTGAGCAGAAAGCACCTCCCTCTTGGCTTTACCTCTGTCTTTGGAAATTGGCCTCATCTCAAAAATCTCTCCACAGACTGATCAACCTTAGTGCCATAGTGATGGCCTTGCCAATGTGGTAACAGTGGCTTGACTATATGCCCTACCATTCCTGGTTCATGCTGGTCTTTCTCCTTGGGCTTGTGCCTGCCACAGCCCTCCTCTATCAACAGCTTCATTCATTAAGCAGAGTCCTGGAGGCCCCTCTGACTAAGTGAGCCCCTGCTTCCCATCTCAATCTAATTAGTGCCAGAGTCTCACTTCCCTAGGACAAAGCTTCCCTCACTTTCTTGCATGCTGGATAGGCAGGGCCGGGGTGTGGGTTTTGACAGTTGAGGGCAAGAGGGTTCATGCATAGAGGACCCAAAGCCAGGAAGATCCTCATGGTCACCCATAGCGACATCCCTAAGATGCTATTTGTAGCAGGACAGGTAGAGCATCTAAGGAGCAACATAGACTTGGAGGAAGAACCCCACCCAAAGCTGCATGAGACCAGGATCAAGGAGCAGCAGGGCTTGTCAAAGGCCAACCTTTGAGACAAGAAAAAGGCAACAACTCTCAGGTACAGAATAGGCATCTTGGTTCATTGGGGCCCAAGAGGTCTTGGGGAAATGAGATCCAGAGCTATAGCTGAGAATGGGCCCTGAAGTTGCTGGGACTCTATACTCTCCTCATTCTTAGCTCCATCTGGAGTCCCTAGGACTCAGGGCTCTCTCCTTGCCTTCCTGGAAGGGAGGCAAGGTGTGCACTCCTGCCACCCCATCAATGTGTTGACCCAGGTCTGCCCCTACAAAAGGTGCTGTCCTACCCTCCCTAGCCGGTTCTCTGCTGGCAGGGACAGGATCTGGGCAGCCCCACACTTTCCTCAGTGCCTGCCTCCCTGCCTGCCTGAGGGGCCTGTCCCAGCCTGCCCCTCATAAATAAAGGAACATGCGGTTCTGCAGGGGGGCAAGTGTTCTCCTGGCTCAGGAAGGCCTGGATGACACTGCAATTTGGCAGGCACGGAGACAGACAGTCAGCCCCTGTCGAGAAGGCAGTCTCTGCCAGCAAACAGAGATGCCAACCCTGAATGTAGCCTGGGCAGGTAGAGCATGAGACGCTCAGGCAGGAAGGACAGAGAAAGGTTCGTCAGAAAGGGCACTCCTAGCTCCGTGTCACTGAGGTGTGCACAGTGGGGGCGTGGGTAGTATGGAGGGTGACAGTTCTCTTGAAGCCACTTTGAGAGGACTTTGTATAATCAGAAGTTCCCTGTCACGGCCTACTCCTCCACAGCTAACGATTTACTGCTGAAATCCCAGGGACAGGACAGGTGGGACAAGGGACAGACATTTCAGAAGGCAGCATGTGGGAAAGGGGCCATGTCATACTTCAAATTAAATAGTCTACCATCTAGGGAAAGACCTTGGCCTTGTCTCTGGATTAGGTCACCCATGTGTCAGATGAATCTGAGGCTTTACCAGGAGTAAGTTGTTGAGAAGATTGGACTATCCATAGAGGACCCGTTGAGCCTCTTGAAGGACAACCTTGCACTCAGGAGAGGAGGGCCAGCGCTGGGAGGTTCTAGTCAGCCTCACACTGAATATGGATCTCTGCATCCAGGCTCATAGGGGAGCAGGGGGAGTTGCTCCTGTGAGAATTGATCAAGTTCTCAATGGTGAGGTGAAGCTATGGCTAAAGTATGGTCAGGGGACATGGGCTGATCCGAGGGCTCCGGTTCATAGATATTCCTGAGTCCCAGCATTTGTGCTGGGTCTTGGAGGGCTTTGCCAGGGACAAGAGGTGCAGTTTTCCTAGTACAGGGGACAGCCTGGGCCCAAGTCCAGGTTTGTGAAAGGAAAGACCAGGGGTTGGGCCTCTAGTAGGGACAGATCAGCAGAGAGTTTAGGCCAGCACAGATTGGGAGGGTCCCAAGGCTGTCAAATAAGGAAGTTATGATTTCAGGGGGGGCTGGGGTGGAAAGGATTATCTGTTGCAGGCACTTGTAGGGGGCTGAGAACTAGAATCATAAGCAGGGTGCAAGAGGATCATTTTTTTCCCTGAAAAATGGGCAGGGGGCTTTTATTATTGCTATTATTGTTATACCAGAGTCTATGTTGGAAATGGGCCCAGAGTCTCATGAGGGCAGGGGCTACAGCTGTCTTGTTCACCAGTGTATCCTGAACCTCTAGCAGAGTTCTTGACACACAGTCAATACCCACAGGTTAGCTGCATCAATTAACTCAGAAAGGGGCCTGTGTCCAGGGGGGAGGGAGGTCAGATGAGAAACATTTAGGGCAGGGAGGTCATGTCCACCTGCAGAGATGGCAGAGAGCATGACAAGGAGCAGCTGGGTCAGTGAGGGTGGGGCGGAGGAGCTGGTTGGGAGTACTGTGGGTCAGAGACTGCTCAGGAGTGATGCTTGGGGCTCAGCTGGCAGCACAATGTGAAACTTGGTGAAACTGCCACCATGCCTAGAGCTGGAGGCCTGGGGTCTCAGAGATGTCAAGCCATAAGAGGGTGGCGTCACCCCCTGGTGGGGAGGGAGCGGACAGTGAAGCCCAGGTTGTAGGAAAGCCCAGCACCAGTGGACTCTTGGAAAGAGATCTGACTCAGAGGAGGACAGTGGAGAAGCCACAGTGAGAGGCGGCAGGTGTCAGTGTGCCTAGCGACCCAGAATTGGGGTGGAGGAGCCGAGGACATGCTGCACTGGCTGCATTGGATAAGGGAGTGTGGACAGAGGACGAAAGGCATGGAGGAGGGGCCTGGGTGACTCTCATAGTGGTGGGGGGAACAAGGGAGACAGGCAACAGCTGGAAGTGGGAAGGAACAGCAGTCAGGGATAGTGGCTTGTCAGAGGGGTGAACAGGATGAAGTCTGCTGCGAGGGAGAGGAAGAGAAGCTAAAGTTACCGAAGAAAGGCAGGAATTGGTGGTGCCTCAGCAAAGTGGAGTGTGTGTGTGTGTGTGTGTGTGTGTGTGTGTGTGTGTGTATGCGTGTGTGTGCATGCGTGTGTGAGTGAGTGTGTAAGGGAGGGCACGAGGCAATATTGTACAAGGTCTGGTGGGATGGAGATGGGTAGATAGGTGCCATGTTGGGAACAGTGCAGAGGAGAAGGGCCAGCACCTTCCCTGGACTTTGTAGACTTCAGGAAATAGTAGAGAAGCTGGAGGGAGGTGCCCCCTCCAGTCCTAGCTCCAGGAGTCCTGTCTACTAGTTTTTCTAGGCTGGTACCAGTACTGTAGCAGGGTGGGGAGGAGTGGGGGATATAGGAGTTGTTAGACTGAGTTTCTTGCCAATGATATAGACAAGGGACACATAGGGAACCCACTGCAAACCTTGCTACCTCTCCAGCTACTATAATTCCCTCACGAGTCAGCCCTAGCGCCACGGACCTCTCATCTAAACCCTTCTTGCCTGACTTTTTGCCTGGGCCACTTTCTGTCTTTGTCCAAGTAACCAGTTTTTCTTTAGTTCATGTCTTGGAAGGAGAGTGGAGACAGAGTGAAGCTCCCGAATCCCATTTCTCTTCTCAGGTTGCAGGTCTCTGAGGTGGGGTAGGGATAGCCTGAGGCTGGACCTTTACCTAACACTTTCTGTTGTGGGGTAGGCCAATGATCTCTACAAAAATAAATACCATTGTTTGCATTTTGTGGAGGGCTGGAAGAAAATGATATTTTCAAAGGAGGTGGTTGCAAGCTACTCTAGGGGGTGAGGGCAGAAAAGGCTTGAGGGGCTCCTTAGTGGGAGTAGAATGTTTACCTAGACCTCAGCACCCACAGAGAAAGGTTGGGTAGAACTGTGTTTAATGGCAGACATGTAGGAGCTGCCTTAGACTCCTGGATCTCCTGGCACATCCCGCCCTTTGCCTGGATGGAGGTGAGGGTATCTTCTCCAGCCTGAAGACTCAGGGAGTGTGCACACCATGCTCCTTCCTGAAATATTCATTTCAGGACTAAAGACAATCTTCTTGCAATGGGGAGGGGGGTGTCGCAGGTAGACCCCTGATTGTCTCTTCCCAGTTACTAAGCTCTCTACAAGGGGCAGCTTGCCAAGTCAGACCTCCAGCCTTTTGTCTCATGTGAGTCCCCAGGGTCTTTCACCTTAGACTGCCAGATTCAGGACCCCTCAGATGGATGCTAGGTCTTTTGATACGTAGGACTTCTGCTGCTAAAGACAGCTCAGAGTCAAACTGCCTCCAATATTTAGACACATAAATGGCTTCATTCTTTTTTTTTTTTTTCCTTCAGTGAGACAGGGTCTCATCTAACCAAAACTGGTCTCAACTTGCTATGTAGCCGAGGATGACCTTGAACTTCTGATCCTCCTGACTCCACCTCCCAAGTGCTGGGATCAAAGGCATGTGTCACCACACCTGGTTTTATGTGGTGCTAGGTTTGAACCCAAGGCTTTGTGCATGCTTAGCAAGCACTTTATCCACGGAGCCCCATCCCCAGCCTTGGGAATTGCTTAATTCTTGCCCCTGGTCTGTAATCCCAGGGCAAACCTGGCCTGAAGGGTTGAGCAGTCAGGGAAGCATTGGGTGTGGCAAGGAATGGATGCATGGAGGGGACCTGACTGGTTCCATGCTGAGTTTGGGAATATGGCTCTGGTCCTCCCTTTTGGACTAGAAGCTGGTGGGATGGAGAGCAGGTGGTACTCACCTGCCATTGCCGTACTTGATACGGATATCACGACTCCGGTTGAGCTCTTTGCCATCTTTGAACCAGCGGTAGGAGGGCTGGGGATTCCCCGCTGCTGCCTCGCACTTCAGCGACTGCTTCTCACCCACCTCTCCTGTCTGGCTCTTCATCTTCTTCAGCTTGGGCCGGGTGGCTGTGGGGTGCAAGGCAGGCAGGTGAGTGTGGGGGTAGCGGGGACAGTGCCAGGCATGAGCAGTAGGAGTTCCCATGGTAAGGCTGGAAGTGGGGAGACTAGAGGCTGCCCCTCCTGACATTTTTCTTTAGTCCAACTCAACCTGCATTTAGAGTCTGCAGTGGGAACATAGTCCTGCTCCTTCTGGGCACTTCTCTGGCCTTGGGGTGGCACCAAGAGCTTCGCATTCGCTTGTAAAACCTTCACAACCCCATGACTTCACTGTAGTGTTTAAACCCATTTATAGACAGGGAAACTGAGGCTTAGGAGAGTGAAGTCACTTCCCTGGACCTGAGGTTCAAATCCAGATCATGACCTTGGTGGTCATGATCTAACTCCTGTCTTTCCCCTTCACTTCCTCAACCCCGCCCCCACCAAGGTCTGTGCTGGGCCCAGAAGACACAGGAAGTCAAGATGGTAGACTTTGCTACCACTTCCATAAAAGGCAGCCTAGCACTGTAACCTGGAATTGCCACTGCAGTGTGGTATGAGGGGAGCTGGGGGTGGCAGAGCCCAGAGGAGCAGTCTTAATCTCAGCCCCGGGGACAGGGCTCAGGCAGCTAAGACTAAAGGAGTGGATGTGGAGGAAAGTGAGGAGGTGCGCTCTGCTGAGGTAGCTCTGAGCTGAAGGAATGTGAGCCAGAGTAGTGGGCTGTCAAAGGGTGATGGAGGGCACCTAGACAGGTGGGTGTGGGCCCAGGCCTGGACAGTAAGCTCCAGGCTTTCTCCTCTGTTTCTGAAAGCCCAGGCAGTTCACAGACATGTTAGACTCCCATATGCCACCTCCTTGTGACACTCCCTGCCACCTTAAACATATACACACACTTTGTTCCCAGCAAGGTGAGGGCATGCAGGGCTACCTGCTGGGTCACAAATTAATAATTTGCACTGAGATGGCCCTTCCTAGGACATGCAACTTTCCATGCACACTCTCATTTGATTCCTGAGCTCTTTGTGTCACACTCCAGTGTGGGTGGAGCTGACTCAGGTTCAGAAACTTGACTGAGACCACACAGCTACAGAGCTGAGGCCAAAGCCTGGGTATAGGGCAGGTGGCAGGCTGGTGTCAGCTTCTGGAGCCGTCTGTCTCACGGACTGCAGACCCTGGATTTGAGGCCTCCCATTAGTGTAAGGGAGGGTCTACCAGGGTCAGGAACTGTCTGGGGAACCTGCTGGCCCCATCTCCAGTCCTCATCAATCACCAAACCTTTCTTTTATTGTAGCTTAGAGTCCTGACAGTGGGCTAGAGGCTTCAGGAGAAAGGGCTTGCTAGAGGTAGAGTTTCTTTCCTAACTTATATGCAAGTCTGCTCACAAGTGGGAGGAGATTAGAGTGGGGCACAGAGAGACCAGAAGGAAAGTGCGAGAAAGCTTCCTTTAAAAATGTATTGTTGGGCTAGGTGTAAGCACAGACACCTGTGAAAGTCATGACAAAACACAATGAGTAGGCAGAAGCAAACAAAACCATCTACTATTTCAGTACTTGGAAATCAGTACACACACACACACACACACACACACACACACACACACATTATTTTTAAGCAAAATGGGACTAGTGCCAGTAACATGATTCTTTCATTTAAAGAAACAATGCAACCTCTTCACCTCCGTGTTCAGTATCAAAACCAGCATTTTTAAAACCTAACTTGCAAGTGCCTGGAGAGATGAAGACAGATCATTACTCAAGAAAAGGGTTCCATGATGAGGCTGATTCGGGGAAGACACGAATGGATGCAGTCCAGGAAGGGCCTTCATTTACCTTGGTCTGACTGAGTATGGGCTTTTGAACCTTTTTTGGGGATCCCCAATAGTACTTCTGGGGAATAAAGTTCTACATTGTAACTTGCATGTGTATATGTGCATAGATGTATACATTTTAACACATTATAGCCACATGATTCAAATATAACAAGAGTATATATTTTACAAAACAAATCTCCCTCTAGCTTCACAGAATAGCCAGGAGGTAACTAATTTTATCAGTTTCTTCTGTATCCTTTTAGAGATCTTTTACGAATACAAAACCATTTTTTTTCCCCCTGGCACTCACACAAATATTTTTCCACAGAATCACTTTTCACACTTGCATAATATTCCTGTGTGGGCGTATCATAATTTATGTAACTTATTGCTGTTGAGAGGTGCTTAGCATGCCCTCCCAATGCTCCCATTACAAATCAAGCCCTGAGGGCCCTCCCTGTGGCTTCATTTCTGCACACATCCAGGAGACACAGACCGTCTGAGTTCTAGTCTAGGTTTGGCTACTTGTTAGCTCTGTGTCCTGAGGTTGCTGACGTAGTTTGTGTCTGCTTCACTTTTTCTCATCTGTAAACTACAGGAGATAAAGAACAGCTGCTACCCTTGTGGGACGGCTGTGAGGACTGTGTGAGATAATGCATACAGAACCTGGCATGCAAGTGGGATTGCCATGTCAAAGGCCATGCAATCCTCCTCAGCAATTTTGTTCTGCCAAATTGCCCCCTAGAAAGGCTACTCCCATCCACATTCCTCCTCTGAATGACTGGGCCTGTTTTTTTTTTTTTCTTCCCCACACCCTCACCATGTTGGGGTATTATCACGTTTTTAATCTCTACCAATTAGCTAGGCAAAAGATAACGTCTCTTTGTTGTGGTAATTTGCATTTATTCGATGACTGGTGAGGCTGAACAGTCATCGGCCCATTGTGTTTCTTTCTTTGGAATTGTTGGTTCATGTCTGCAGTCTGTTTTTCCAATGGAGTGCTCATCTTAAGGATTTGCAAGAGGCCTCTGAAAATAGTAAGGCTATGAACCTTTTGTTACAGTGTTCCCCCCAGTTATCTGCTTCTCACATTTTAAGATGCATGGCTGGCCTTCCTTCCATCCCTTCCTTCCTTCCTCTTCTGTACCAAGAGAGTTTGTGCATCAGTGTACTGTGGAACCTTCTGGAACTTCATGACACAAAGTAGTCCTGCCTAGCATCCTTCTTTTCCCCATGTCCCATGCTTTCACCTGCTCCAGAGTCCCTGTCACACCTCACAATTCTGAACTATGGAAGCCATGGGAACCATCTGGAGACTTAAAAACCTGGGCAGACATCTGAGAAACAGGGCTGGGAAAGCCATCCAGGAGGGTGGGCTCACTGTCTCATCTGTATCTTTCACATGTGCTGGAGAGTGTGTGTATAATCACCGTACATCCCAGTGCCTGGAGACACGGGAGCACATCTGCACAGCGGCTTCATTCTAAGGTTGACTGACAGCTGTCATCTAACCTTGGTCTAGCGCTGACCTCTACCTAGTCCTCTTTGCTTTCTTGTGACTGGGACACAGAAAGCTCCTGGTAGGGTCTAAAGTACCTACTTTCCGTACTGGAGTTCTGACACCAGGGAAGCCTTGTCTCCTAGCCCTGTGGGCCACTTTGCTTCCAGCCTGACCCCAGCCAGCCTCTGAGGGGTGGGATGAAGCCACACTGACTCTGTTACTTTGCTGCCTGATTTGAGTCCCAGCCAAAGAAGGTACAGTGAGCCAGTGGGCCACTGTTTCACATGAGGGTGATGGGCTGGGAATGCACCAGACAGAGGCAGTCAGCAGGCAGGACCAGAGGGCCCAAGGAACTGAGGGTTCCAAAGCCATTCTATGTCTCTGTTAAAACACAGGCTATTGTTTTAGATCCCAAGGGTTCCTCTCCAACCAGTGGGAACTCGTGTGTCTTATTAGCCACTTCTTGATAGTTTACGCACTTCTGAACAACTGGACTAGTTTACTCACTCCTCATTCATTCATTCATTCATTCATTCATTCATTCATCCATCCACTCACTCACCAACTCAATTCATTTCCAATGAATGATTCAAGCTGCTACATGCCAGGCACTGTTCATTCACTGGGGAGTGAGCTAGATAGTCCTGAATTTGGGGAGCCTGACTTCAAGAGGTAGGATGAGGCAGTGACAATGAGCTTGAGAATTCACAGGCTTTAACAGCCTATGCAGCTGAAGAGAGCAGGGGCTGGAGAGGCAGGCAGGCCCCAGGTGACAGGGTTGTAGGAGTCAGGATAGGAAGCCAGGATTGAGCTTGTATTTTTCTTTTTAACTTCTTTTGTGTCTGCTAGACGATTTTAAACGACATATTTGAACTAGACTATGCTTGCATTGGGCAGCACTGGTCTAAATGGCAAGAGCATAAGAATAACCACATGCTCGAATCATGCCATGTCTTTTACAGAGAATTTTCTCTTCTAGCTTTTGGAAGATCCTCACAAGAATCTCCTGAAAGGCAAAGCGGGGCCAGGCATACTCACTAGGCTCAGTTTTCTGTGTCTGGAAAGTTCTTTGGTGGATCTATTAGAGCAGTTCAGATTGTAGAAAAGAAGAGTGCACACCAGATGGCTCTTGGAAAGGTGCCTGGGGGACCCCTGCAGCCCCACTTCTGGGCCCAGAGCTTGGAAGCTTTCTGTGGCAAGGCCTGGGGACCTCTCCAAGATAGCCCCGGATTTGT